ACTTTCGTGACCTTGGTCACCTAAAAGCGGATCGCCTTTCAACTAAAAACAAAATAATAGTGATAAAGTAATAACGATGAAAAGTAATGAATGAACTTACGAAGAAATATTTGTAAAATTTTTTTTTTTTTTTTCTGAAGGCTCTTTTTTTTCCCTTAATATCGTAGATGAACTGGAAGTCCAGGACGAGGCCTCCTATCTAAGTACGTGGGGCAGCGAATGTACCTTCTCCACTGTACTGAGTGACGGCCGACGTGTAGAATTACTCCCAGGAGGAGAGGAGAGAGTAGTAAAACCTGAAGAGAGAGAACAGTATGCAGCTTTGGTGAGAAGAGCCCGGATGACTGAATTTACAAAACAGGTATAACAAGTTTACGTTGGGATTTTAGGAGTCGCTGTAATCGCACCTCTCTAATGCGAAGCTGTAAGGCTCACTCCACCCACTCCACCACTACTGTCGGAGTGCGATAAAGCAAAGCCAGTCCTTTGTCAGACTATTTTTGACATTCGAATTAGAATCGCTCAGTATGGGTGCAGATGTAGCGTGGGGCGTGAGCTTGAGTTGGGTCGGACATGTGCAGTTTAGTAGAACTACGCGTTGTGTTTCTTGTGTGTGAGTTTCCGAGAGTGAATAGAACGTTAGTCTTGTCATTGCTTGTCTTGTTTGTGTTACATAGACATTATTTGATTCTTGGGGTGTTTTCGGTTGACAGGTTCAAGCCATCAGAGAAGGTTTAATGTCAATCATTCCTGAGTCTGTTCTTTCGCTTCTTACTTGGAGTAACTTGGAGAAAGGAGTTTGTGGAGACCGAGAAATTTCCGTTGAACAGCTAAAAACAGCTTGTAAGTATTGTTTCCATTTGTTGTGATGTGAGCGCAGCGGTTTGATACCCATCGGTCTTTGATTGAAAATTCGAAACCAGAAAGTTGGAGATGAGCTAGAAATATAATTTATCGAGTTATCATAAATTTGTACTTATTTTTATTTTGACAACTGAGCCTAATATGTGTCCAGTAGACCCTTCTACATAAATGGGAAGTATAATTTTCATTCTTTTGTATCCATTTAAATCAGTTCCGCTAGCCTTGTCAAAATTGGTAAAAACTGTAAATTGTCACTTAAAAGATGTAACATCAAGCATTTAGATGATGGAAGTAGACCACCTTTTTAGTTAAAAAATGGTACCAACAAACACAACACCAAATTCTCCCAACAAAATTACAACGAAGAGTACAGCAGCCAGAAGGGAGATTCAGGAGCTACATCATAACAAGTTCCTTGAGAATGGGGTATTTCTACCCTGAGAATCAAATATCTTAAACTTACCATCATCATTACAAGAAAAACCTACTGTAGTACTAAGGGTTGTTGAAAGAAAGGAATTATAGTTTTGTCCTAGCAAAGCATGCATAGCATTAGCAAATGACATACGATAATTGAAATCTTGTACTTCACAAGTACCATGTATAGTAACCTGTATAATACCAGTATAGCTTCGACTATATTGAAGCTGATAATTAATATTAAACGCTATTATCGTTTCAAGAACTTCTGTTAACAGTAAATAGGATTGCCTGGTTAGACTAGATAAACTAGAATACAATTCATTACCAATGTTCATGATATTGACCAAGTCCATTGAGGATACAATACCATTCCTCTTCTCACATATGAGGGAAGCAACACACATGGCTACACACTGTGTACCTGCATTTAACCCAAACATTGCCACATTGTCTTGATTGTAAGGAGCTTGAATTGTTTTAGTAGAATTAATAACAGGACCAGGGTTTGTTTCTATATCCCCAGGCAGATTGGACCTAAAATGATTTACCCTGTGATTCAGATTTTTACAAACATTTGGTACTGAATTAGACCTCCATGCTTTCTACTGCTTTGGCTTTCGACTTTTTATTACATGTGGATATCGGTTTTGTATTTTCAGTATCCTGTATTTGTTAGACTTTCGATATTTTCTCCTGACTGCAGAAGAGGGATGTTTCGCTGTTCCTTTATTCTTACATCTGATTCCATGTGTATGTATTTTTTCACGAGCTTTATTTGTAAAAAGATGCATTCGGGAAGACTTCGGTATGCTTTTTCTGATGTAGGTTCGAAGTAAACGTCTTATTCTTTTCTTTGGTATTCTGCTGGGCTCACGATCACGAACACGAATACCATGAGTACGAGGGCGATTAAAATAAACAAATTTGTCGTATCGAGATCTACAGTTACAGACTGTATATATTGAAAATGCTTCATCATTGCTATTATTAAGCGTATGGTCATATACAATAACAGATAACTGGGCAGCTTTTTCAAATACGTTACAATCATCGAAGCTATTCACGGCAGCTTTTGTTGAAGACATCAACAACTTTACGGAGAAATAAGCCCACAAGCGTAAACAGTAGATAACATAATAACATTATACATAAAAAAACACAGGATTTTGGATCATGTATTTACTAGAAAAGAATATCCATACAACTACAATGAAAACAAACATAAGATTCACCTCTCTGGTCGTGAAATTAATACCATTCGTACTGTTATCGTAGGTACGTTCCTTGGCATGAAATGAATCCAACATGGCGTCTTTCTTCACAAGCAGTTTCCATCCATTAGTGTTTTGTTCTTCGGTCTCACTGTAGTAATGTTGTTCAATAGATTGCATAGAGTATATGTAGTTTGGTTTCAGATTTAAGATTTTGGTTTTTTCAACAAGTGTACGTTTTTCAACTAAGACATTGGCATACTTAGCATACAAGGTATACAAGGCATACACAATTTTCATGGCTTTCAAGGCATACAAGGCTTTCATGGCTTTCAAACCTTCGCGACTCAATCCGTTCCAAAAATACCGCTCAATAACATCTTTTAGTATGGATTGGCTGCGAACAATACGACTTGTGTATCCGTCTGCAAGTATTTTTAGCGTTTGCACCATAAAGCTCCAGGTAATCGTAAGTCAAAAACGTAGAACCTCCATCGCCAAAACAACAACCCCACAAATACAAAATGGCTGACAAAAGAGTTTTATAAACAAAAATCTCTTGGTTCGTCATGTGACCTGGCCCTGTCCGAGCATGTCAACGTCAATCATCAGCAAGATAGCACACGTGATCAGCGTGTGAACACCTTCACCCTCATCGGATCACAGTTAGTTGTCATGATATTGAGGGCCCAGTGACCACTGAGTACTATTGCACAATTTGTCCATTTTGTGGAGGAGGAAAAGAAAAAGACGACAAAAAAACAAAGGCGTTTTATGACTGGGCTACCACAGGTATCCCTGTAATGATGAGGGTTAACTTAGCTGTTATCTTCTTTAGGTAAATACGGTGATGACTTGACCGAGTCCTCTGAGTCTGTGAAACATCTGCGTGCAGTTCTAACCCAGTTCACCTCTGAGGAGCGAAGTCGATTCCTTCGTTTTGTGACTGGACGCAAGAGGCCTCCTGCTCCTTTTACTGTGGCTAAAGCTGGTGGAGACAAGGACAGCCTCCCCCATGCCTCCACCTGTGCCAGCACACTGTTCCTTCCAGAGTACTCCTCTTCTGCTATCGCAAAGGAAAAGCTGAGGTGAGCAACGTAGGTTAGGAATTGGGCATCGATGTAATAATGGTTACGTTATTTTCTATGACCAGTTTTCTGTTGGAAAGTCGCTTCCAAACGTTTTGGTGTATTTCCTTGGAAAATGTTTTGAAAAACATTTCCCAACTATTCTTAACAAGTTGTGATTGTAATTCCTCTTTTTTTTTTTTCGACAAACAAGGTCACCATACCGACACTGCAGCCTCTTAGAACCACTTATGGTTACGCTATGTGCATGCAACTCCCAAACAAGTTCTGTGACCTTCACTTTTTATCATTAAATTGCAATGAGAGTATAGGACTCACCTTTTCGCAAAGTTTCAATAATAAGATGTCTATTTTTTTAAATTTATTCATTCAGCTATGCCATCTCAAATTGTGTGGCCATCGACACTGATACAAGCCCCTGGTGAACCCTTGAACTGCAAATGTGAACTGAGGGGGAAATCAGAAATGTCAGGCTGTCTGCCCGAATGTGAGAGCCACGTTTTAGAAGTGTAAGAAGGTCCGACTGACTGTGTAGCTGTTAATATTTGAATAACGCTCGTTAGAAGAGCACATGGTGTCATTTAATCAGTTCATCTGAAGTGTAATGACTAGTTACATTTCTCGACAAACAGTGTTTCAGGCAAGAGATAGATTTCGTCCCTCACATAGTAGTTACGCACTTTATGGGAAATGGGAGACAATATCTGGTTAGCACTGCCCTTAAAGGATAGGCCCCATTTCTGATGTGCCCGCTGATCACTCCTCTGGTCATGCGCAGTGAGGCTGCGCAAATTGCGCCAACAAGGCTGCGCAGTGATCTTTAAAGGGAAGTATGTTCCAGAAACCAGGAATTTTATCTCCATCTTTGAAAAGACGAATGAAAAAATTTGCAACTTATTGCATTTTAGATTTTAAAGAGTAACCTGAAATTTTCTTGATTTCACACGCGGTTTTCAATGGTAGGAAAAAATCGTGTTTTCTGGAGTGTACTAGTCTATTTAGAGGTAAACAGTATCTTTTAACATGGTTTTCCAAGCTATGGTATTTAAATAATCAACTCTCAAGGAACAAAGAAAAATGCCTCTCTTAATAATGGATTGAGTAAAGTCAGTTCCTCAAACTTTGGTTAATTTTATGCTATCTAAAGAGATTAGTCTCATTTATTGTGATGCATTGCCACAATATTACTCAAGAATGACAATTATTTGATTGATATGCATAATGACAGGAGAAATGGCTCCTGATAATGAATAACATTATTTTATGGGACTAAAGTGAAACACTTTGTGCGGAAAAGAAATATCCCGACTTACTTACAATTTTAATGCTAGAAATGATAAATGATAAATGATTAATTCGAGAACTTTCTCGAATTTAGTATTTTATTGGATCTTAAAGCAGTTGCTACGCGACAACGATCCAGGCTAGAAATTCTTTTCAGTTTGCGTTTCCATGTAACACCAGAGGCTCTTACTAGACAGGTAGTTCTTGATCTTAACCCTACTTAAAAGGGAACTTGACCAGAAATACTTTCGAGAAGGACGTTTTGATTCCCAAAGGTTACCCCACAAGTGTTTCGAGAAATTCATCAATGATTTGTGAAATACTGATAGCATTAATGTTTAGTTAGTGGTGTGTCTGTGGTATTTGCGGGTGGAAATTGTAACATGCACTGAAAATAAATTATAAACTATTTATGCCATCAACAGCCCAGAAAATCAGCGGTCAGTACTGCAAGCTCTCACTCAAAACTAGCTGCGTAAAATTTAAGTCAAATAACCCATTTCCGAATTACCTTAAAACCTCCTTTTAAAAGCGAGTCCTGTTGCTTGTTCTTTCATATGATTATAAGTTTTCATTCACATGCAAATTAAACCTATTTACGCAAGAATGGCTGAGCACTGGGCCTCGTTTCAGAAAAGAAGCCAAGGGTAATTCGGAAAAAGCCGATTGTTAGTGTTTAAAAGTAAGAAATATAAAGTATTTTTACTAATGCGAGGAAATACAATGTTATATTACTTAACTATATATTTGGTACGCTTGCAATAGTACTCAGTTATTTAGGAAGCCAAATAAATACTTGACATATCAGCTTTCTTTTTGTTTGTTTGGTGAATATTTAAAAGCTACTTGTACTGGGTAGAGCGAAAAGAAACGTTATGTACCTGTTACCTTATCGGAGTCAACGTAAAGAGAACTCTGTATGCGAATGTTTCAACCTTAGTAACCCTCGTCGTATTGACCTGTTGGAGATGTAAAGGGTGGTTTTCCTCCAGATCAGTTAACTGCTTTTATACCTTGGAATTAGGACAATATTCTCTATACATTTCCTTTGGTACTGACGAGGAAGATCTTTTAACAATCAAAACTTCTTAGGTTGGCTTTCATTTCCTTTATCCTTGTAATCTTCACTCTCCCCCTCCCTCCCCCTCCCC